AACTCTATAATTTCAATTAATAAAGTTTCTATTTTGGCATTATAAAAAAAAAAAAAAAAAAAAAAAAAAAAAAAAATTTCATGTTAAGCTAAGTTTTATATATAGTAATTAATAGATTGTAATTTGAAAAACTTTAGCTTATATGTATTTTCAGTTTAGAAAACTTCAGCTTATCAAGTTTGCCTTATATTTATTTATACTCACCAAATAAAGTATTACAAAAATATAAATAAAATATTTCATAAATTGCCAAAGAAATGTATACTGGGGAAATGATAAACAGAAAAGCTTTTTAAATTTTCAATATTATCTATTTGATTTATTTATAGAATAAAATCAGAATTACATAGTAATATTGATTAAGATCACTATATACATAAAATTTTAATTAAAATCAAGAATTGGATTCAAAAAACCTTCTAGCCTAGCAACAAAAACTTCTGCTTCCTTAGCACTACTTCTTTCTTCTACACTCCAGTATTTGTTATGTAATCTTTCAGTTAGCTTATTTACAGAAAGCTGTCTATTTTCTGCTTGTTTTTCTTCTTTGCTTTGTCTTGGTATCTCTATAATTATTAATTCATGATACTCATATACTTCAAAACTACTTTCTTCAAATATTTCTTGAAACCTTTTCCAAGCTTCTTCAGTTAGCAATTAGTTAGAGCCATAGATATGTTTGTGAAATATATGTTTGCATAGTAACAAATATTTATTATAGAATAAGCAGCAACAATCTAGTAAAGTAAGCTCTGGTACACTCTTACTCTTCTTTAACCTATTCATTACTACACAAGCTTCTTTAACAAGTATTAACTGTATAGGATAAAGAAACTTGTAGATTTCTTTAATAATTTCGTCTTTAATGCCATAGACTGATACTTTTTTTATATGAAAATTAAAAGCTACATTATCAGCATTGATTTGTTTTTTTTGATCAAGATCAATAACTTTATGAACTACACTAATTAACCTATGCAAGTAAAGGGTCTGGTAATCTTAGTGTAGTAGTTAGGTTGCCGAACTACCATGCAAGACGTCTAGGGTTCAAATCCTACTGTATACAGAATTGAATAATTATCTAGATATCTGTATCCAACTTACGGTAAACTCTGCTTGTTTCTGGGGTTGTAACCCTGTAAATCATGTTGCACTAATGCCAATAAGATATTGGAAGTGTGATGAGGCGTTCGGTGAGGTGTAATATTATATAAATAAATCTTGATAGGATCTACAGGCAGGAGACCTGCATGGTAGAAATCCTGAGTTAGGTAAAGTAGTACGGATTTTAACGGTCATACTAGTTAATGTCTGATCTGGAAAAGAAAATCTGCATACGAAAAGATCGGTGAAATAGATACAAGTAAGTTCTGAGTACAAAAGGATCAGCAAAACAGGTGCAAGTAAGTCTGTTACATGAGGTCATACAGCAACACCAACCTGGCTTGGCAGCTAACTGGATTTGGGAGGATTTGTCTCGTGTGATATCCAGTGGCAAAGCAGGCAATACCAAGTAACAGATTTAGGAAGATCTACTTTGTGTGATATCTGGAGGCACAGATAACTAACTTGGTGGAAGACTACAGTAGAAACCAGGTTTGTACGAACATCGAACAAGAGTATATGCAAGCTAGATTGGGATATAGCGTAGCATATTTGGGTACTACAGCACCCATCGATTAGGAAGTTGGTGAAGGGGTACCTGAGATGGGCCTAGGCTTCAAATCATAAAGTTTGTGAATTCATGTCAGCTCTGTTGATGTCTTCTGAAAATAGAAGTAGTACGGGGTTAGATGAATTTAGGTAATAAATGATAGTGGAATAGGAATGGCATATAGTCAGAGAGTTTAAATTGGGAAATCTAGTTTAGTAATATCAATTGATATTATTGGTTTAGAAGTTTCACGTTTAGCTAATAAATCAGCTTGGTTATAAAAGTCATTTTTTGAATGAGATTTAACTTTGTGAGTAATTATTTGAAGTTGTTTTTTTGTCAAAATTTGGTTTATAA